CTTTTCTGCATTACATGGCTTTGCTAAATTAATATAAACGTTTCTGAGAGTGTTAAGGGAAAAAAGGTGCTGCTTGTTTAAACAATTTTAATGAAGGTCTAACCTTTTACATTAAACATCTGTTCCCTTCATTTACTTTCTGGCAGCAGTTCATATGTTTTCTGCAAAGGACACAGTTTAATGAACATATAACAGATTATTTAAATGAATGGTTTTAATGAGTTCTTTGAATAGGTTTCTCTAAAAAGTAAGCATGAAATTACTTTCTCAGTTGGGATGCTTTAACATATTTAAGAAAAACATACATAATCACTTTCCAGCAAACACAGGCCTTAGTTGCTTTAACATTCCAATGCCTTTGAGTGCTAATAAACTAAAGGACTTGTTTCATGGGAGTGATAAGTCAGTACAGTAAATTGATGTTTTAATATATTATTACTTCCTAAGAAACAGGTTTTTTCCTATAGGAAAGGGGAAAATACTTTTCATTTTATCAGAATGGGACATCAGTTTATTTCTAAATAATGGGAAGATATGGACAGGCCTGATACTATAGGCTTTCATTAAAAGGCTCCAGCAACAGACTTAATTATTAACTTATTAATACTCCTAAGAAGGAAATACATCCAAGTTCCACTTGGATAAACTCAGGCAAAAGTAATATGACTTCACCAAGTGATTTAGCTTCAAAATTGTTATACTTAGTCCCTGACCCTATTTACTCTTTTTTGTATTCTCTTATTGCAATAGGAGGTGTTAATTCCGTTCAAATAATTAGGATTGGGCATAGTTCACCATGTAGCCACCAGGAAGAAAAATATGCCAAAAGTCTAAATACATTTGTAGCTGCCTATAATAATGTCTTTCACTTTTGAGCCAGCAGAGGGTTCTTTATATTATCGATCTAATTGTTTAGAAGTCACTTCATAGTTTCACATTATTTAATTGCTCTGATTTTTCTCTATTGATTTTGTACACATACAAATAATAGCACTTCAATGGAAATGCAACCTAAATGAGAGGTTTTGGAATTTTTAATTAGTGGTATTTTGCCTTCTTAGAATAAAATCTGTTTATCCTATGGAATAATGTAATAAGATGGACCCTGCTCTTGAAAGTCTGATTAGTCAAGAGATAGTTCATTTAAGCAGGATTACAATAGTTGGCAGTCTTTTTCTGAGCATAAGGCTAATGAGCATGTTCATTTATGCATAAGGTAACTGTCATATAGTTACCTGCACTGAGCCTTAAAAGACATTTTGTTTAAATTTTAAAAATTCCACTGTGATTTCTATGGCTTTGACTTAGTTTTACATATAGACATTTCTATCTTTGTTCTAACCTTCTCTATTGCTTCTGGGTGAAACCACTACAAAAATGCAAGAAAAATGCATCAGCTCATTCCCCATCCTTCACTCCTGCCCATGAAAATGTACTATGGCTGAAAGAGACTGAATCTTAAGCAATCAGTTTGCTAAAACCTTTGCATACCCTTGCATTATAATGTGATAAAGGTATTTTCTTGTATCACTGATCACTTGATGGAACTACAGTAAAAATGTATCTTCTGAAGGCATATGAAATTGCTATTGTTTTTCATGACAAGTATCTTATGTCATGGTGTAATATTTAACTACTAAAATACTTAACATTCATTAACATTAATAAATGCCTTTGTAACCTCTAATATCTAGGGTCCTTATCATTAACCAGATACACATCAAATGCTTAATATGCACCCTTAAATACCTTCAGTATATTAATTTATAATATGATACAAAGTCCAGGCTTTATACATGCAAAGCCTGAGATTGCTGTGGATCATATTTATCTCACGTGATTTTATCTTTTTTCATGTTTGTTCACTGTTACCAGTGCAGGAATAAGTAATTTCTACATATTTTTTGTGCCATTAGAACTTGGACATAGATGTTGATGCCATTGTTAGCACCAGCATCAGTTTGGCTCCAACTTTTCATATTACGGAAATAATCTATCCTTTCACAGAACTCCTATGCCTATGGAGTTCACACATTTTTTTGAAACCTTGTCAGTCCTGCCTTTGGTCTGTGTTGCCAAGATTTGTAAGTGAGCGACCTGAGTTTAAGTATCCATACTTGCTCAGCATCAGAAACCCTTGGTATGAATGCCTACATTTTTTGTAGACTCACTTGCAAATTCTTCTTTTTAAGTAAAAGTGTTGAAGTAATGCTTACATTGTGAAAGTCTTCAATGATGCAGATTCCATTTTTCTACATTTCATATTGATCATATCTTGGAATCTTCAAGATGTTTTACAATGCTGGGGAAATAAATCCTCAAAGGCAATATAAATCTTATTTCCTAAGACAGCTACCTGAACAGGAGAACAGAATTCAAGCTTTTCCACTTGAATTCCAAGAAAAGGGCCTGTTCCTCATACTTTTCCACCCCTTGTCACTTCCCAGTTTATAAGCACCATCTGCTTTTCAGTGTTCTTTGCAAGATACTGGTCTTAACAGTCGCAATTCCTGCATGAGTATCTGTGACTTAGCAAGAAGGCATGCTCTGTAGAGAGTACACCTCTTCTTTCACTTCTGGCTGGCCAGAGAAAAAAAATTATTCCAGCTCTGGAGCCCTCAGCATAAGAAAGACATGGACCTGTTGGAGCTGGTCCAGAGGAGGGTCATGAAAATGATCAGGGGGATGGAACACCTCTCCTATGAAGAAAGGCTGAGAGAGTTGGGGTTGTTCAGCCTGGAGAAGAGAAGGCTTTGGGGAGACCTTCTTGCAGCCTATCAGTACTGAAAGGGGGCTTATAAAAAAGATGGCGGCAGACTTTTTAGCAGGGCCTGTTGCGACAGGGCAAGGGGGAATGGCTTTCAACTAAAGGGGGGTAGATTTAGACTAGATAGAAGGAAGAAATTTTTTACGCTGAGGGTGGTGAAACACTGGCCCAGGTTTCCCAGAGAGGTGGTGGATGCCCCATCCCTGGAAACATTCGAGGTCAGGTTGGACGGGGCTCTGAACAACCTGATCTAGTTGAAGATGTCCCTGCCCACGGCAGGGGGGTTGGACTAGATGACCTTTAGAGGTCCCTTCCAATCCAAACTATTCTATGATTCTATTTTAACTAGAGCTCTACTCAGATACATTTGATATGCAGCGCTCTTGGCAAACAAATGATAAGGAAGACTAAAGTAGCACTTCCTTGACTCTTTTTACCCCACCTCCTACTCTTTTTACTGAGCCTTTGCTTCCCTTTTGTATCAGAAATGATAAATTTTTACTTGGAGGAACACCTAGCAAAACCAGATATACTTGGAAATAATTTTTATAAAGTATATCAGTGAAATAGTGATACTAATGGTCAGATTCTAAGCTGCATGTGAATTCAAAGCATTTGCAGGTGGAGCAGTAGCAAATTTTGCAAAGAAACCCTAACAAAGTAATATTTAATTGGTGTAACAGTTCTGAGACTGGGAGTAAAGAGTTCTTTTACTTTCTTGGTAATTATTGTTTAAATAAAGGTCTGCAATCCTGTCAAGTGAAGAATGCTGTTTAAGTCCAAAAAATTATTATTTCTCACTCAATAAGGAGCTCTTCGTATCAATAAGATTAAAAAAGAACCAATTTGCTCCTACTAAAATGACCATGTCTGCCATACTGAATGTACTGCTTCATAGGAAAAAAAAACATTTATTTTGCTATTATTAAAAAATGACTAAGTTAGATCAACCAAAAAGTCTCCACCTTAGAATCATTTGAGTATGCCACTTAGCAGCAGTCTATGACTATTTTATATGGTCTTTAAAGTGCTCAGTAATCCCATAAAGTTTTAACCTTTATTTTATTGGTATCTGCTACTTTTTGTGTTATGTGTCTAAAGCCAATTAAAAGATTTTTCATGAATCACATGAATTTTTATTTTACTGTTCACATAGAAAAGCTTTCTAATATCTTTTAATAGCAGGATTTTGTGTATGAATTATATCATGGTCAGCATGCATCATTCTGAACTGTAGTTTCTGGACCAGAAAACCATGTTTAAATCACTCTGGGCATTAAAATTAAATGGGTAAATGACTGACTACATGGACTGGCAGGGTTATCCTGCAGCAGTTAGAAGGTGGTAGAACACAGGGTTGTGACATCAAGTTTTAGTATATCTTTGATTGAGAAGTGGAGTAAAAGTTATTCAAAGGGGATTTTTTACTTATTTATGTAATTTTTTTAAACCTGAAAACTGAACAAGAAGTGAGGAATTACAATGTGGAAGGTATAAAATATTCCATCAACAACCAAAACCTGCAGGGACATTTTAGTTTTCATGCAGAAGAGGTATAGCATCGTGAAAGACTTTTTAGCCACAAAAACAAATGAAGTTGCCGTAATTAAGATTACTAATAACCTTTTCAGTATCCTGTACTTCTCTGAAGCATTTTTTAAGCTTCAAAAAAGCCTAGCTTCTCCCCAGATAGTTCAAAGAAATCACAGACATTCTCAGACAAAAATCTGATGACAAATAAAGGTTGCAATTTGTCCAGGCCTGTCATGTTATGCCAGTGAAAGCCAATGGGTAAAGTGACAGCAGGTTTCTCAGTTGAAAAGGAGTCAATACTGTTCTACAAATAAGAAGCAATTGCTTCAGAAAGTTTTACAGTGTTTGTAAATAGTTTCATTTGGGAATTCTTCTCTCCAGCCATAATATCTTGTTTTTCTCCTCCCCTGAAAAGCACCGGCCAAGCACAATTGCACACTAACTTACCTGACAGGTTGGCAGATAGCGCCAGTCAGCGACCATTAAAATGATCCAGTCCAATAACATTATGGAATAAGGAGAGCTATAGAACACTTAGTATTAAATATTGATCCAAATTGTCCACAGGATATGCACAGGAGCTGTGGCCGGTGCTGCCCATCCCTGGCAGGGCACAGGAGAGGGGTGGTATGAGGCTGGGGAAATAGCCCTGGAGCCCATCTCCATTCCCTCGAGGTGTCTGCCCAGCCCAGGCACTTACCTTCTTGCCACCCAGGGCCTCGAAGTGGCTCCGTAGCTCCTCCACAGTGATGGGGAAGTGCTCGATCTGCTGAAGGCCACCTAGGGTCTCCTCCTTGAACACATCCACCCTCCTGCTGTCTGCCGGCACTTTCTCCACGGTGCTGCTGCAGCTGATCTTACCCAGCACCAGGGACTGTGGGGCTGGCGAGCACTGGAGTGTCGGGCCAGGTCTTGTAGCATTGGCGGACTCCCATCTCTGCTTGAGGAGCTCCACGGAGCCCTTCTGCAGGGGCAAGTCTGCCAGCTCCAGCGTGCCCTGCCAATGCAACATGTACCTGGGGTCAGAGACAGGCGGCACCGTGCCAGCAGAGGCCACCGCGGGGCGGCTTGAGAGCCCTTGCAGGTTGTGAGACAGCCCAGGGCACAGGCTGGCAGCTGGGAAAGAAGCCACCTCCCAACGGAACGTGAGATCCAGTAAGACCAGATCCAGTAAGAGTCAGTGAAAAGAGTGAATTAAGGGTGGTGTTCAGATATTTTATTCTTACGTTTGCCAGCAGAATTGCCGTCTATCATGAGTGGAAAAGCAGCAAGCACACAGTTAGGGAGAATTTCAAACAATGTGGGGCTAATGAATGAGTGCCTGGTAATCAGTGTGTGCTGCACTGAAAGCTGTTGTGACAGGTGACTGCTGGTTTCTTTTAGATTCGATACAGTTGTCAGTATTGTAGAGCAAGACACAGCATTTTAATGCAGCCAGGAGACAGAAGGGTTACTGCATTAGCTGTGAGAGTATTTGGATAGTCTGGAAACACAGTGCTCCTAATTGCACCGTCACTCTTCTGGCTGGGAAAGTGCTGATATCAAATCTTTCTGATCAGTTGACTGTGTTCTCACAAAGGCTTATTCCATCTTTCTTACAGTACGGTTGGGAGGGAAAATTGCCATTCTATCATTTTGCACCAGTTACCGAAATCTGCTACCCACTTCCTGAAATCAACTCCCAAGAGGTTTGATTTCGAGGTTTTCTGCCCTGTAGCAAATATGTAAGTTTTCATCTCTCATTCAAAATGAGTTTGAGTAGAAAAAAACATGCATTTAAAGCAGTAAAGAGAAAGAAATGTTAACAAGAACTGAGACACAACTACTAGCTAAAATCTCCATTCGTTAGCCCCTCCCTTCTTGGCAAGGGAGTTTATTATGTGTTTAGCTGTCCTTTAACACGCTTACATTTGATTGAGCTTAAATCTGCATTGTTGGGAGTTGGGCTTGGGGGGGGTGTGTGTTCAATTTTTAACCAGAATTAGTGTGATCTGTAATATTTTGCTTAGGAGGAAAAAACACAGGAGAAGCACTAGGTATTTGATGCAGTCCAAGAATAGTTTTAAAAGGAAACTCAGGGTCCACCTTCCTTGAACAAAACAGGAAAGAGTTTCTTGGCTCACAGCTTTCACCTTCTTTCCAACCAGAAATTGGCCCAAGACTTGTCTCTCCTTTAGCTTTTTGGCAGTACTAGGTTGTGACTATGGCTAATGTCCTCTTAGTTCCCCTTGATTGATGCAAGCTGTCTCCCATGCTCTCCCCTTCCTGCAAGCAAAAGAGTAACACCCTTCCTTCCCCTACCATGTGTGCCTCTTGTTCTAAGCTGTCTGGTTCCATCAAAGATCCTAAATGGGTCTGACTTTTAACCCAAAATGAAGAACAGCTGTTAAATTCACCAGTTGCAAGAAAGTTCAGCCTAAGTCATAGCTGTATGTTAGAAATACTCCTGATTTACACTGCATCTAAGGATTGACTTCAGACTGTGAAGCAGGCTTTTCCTAATTCAGGTGAGTGTGTTTATGCAATATCCACATTCTCCTATGTTTTTCTTCATTGCTAGTGGGTCCTTTTGTTGGTTTCAGTGGTTTTCAGGATAGGTGTTATGCCGTCATTCAAAAATAGTCTGGAGTTCACCTCCTTCTCCCTCACAGCTCTCAAAATAGATTTAACTAAGAATGGTAGCTTCTTTTACCCTCGTCTAGTGTGGGACCTATGGCTGCTAGGTGACAGGTAAAACAAACATATCTGCTTTGTTCGCATGCATGAATTGGCCTGTATGAGGTGAAATTGTGTGGAGATTCAACTATAACGTTGGTGCTCTGCTGCGCTTGCCCTGCGTGTGCCTCCCCCCCTCCCCCCCCCCTCCCGAAAGAGAGATTTCATTGTAACATCTGCATTTGTGTCAGGAAAAAATTTGAATGTAGGCCTAAACCTGACTTTAAGCCACTTCCTAAAGATATATTTTAGTGAAAGTTTCTCTCTGAAACTTGCGGGGAGGGGGAGGAAACCCACAAAAAACCAAACCAGAATCTGGTGTGTCCTAGAGGTCATTTGAGGTTTTCACATTTTGTTACTGCTGTCTCCAAAACTGGTATCTGATCTTCTAATTTCCTTCCCTACCTGTTCATGGTAGTTTAAATCACTGTAGACTACTAATGGAAATTTATTACAAGTAAAATATTTGATGATTACTGTATATCTAAAATCATCAGTTATTTTAATTGTTTCCTGAGCTTTGTAGAGCCTTAGCCTTTATGAAAATGTAGAAATAGAGGAAATAAGAAAAGCACAGATTTGGACTTTGACCTAAATCACTATTATCATTTCATACTGGCTCTGCTGACTGTAGTGTTTAACTTTTACAGGCCATCTGTAAAATTAAGTGAAGGGGAGAATAGATACTGTTGCTTTTATCAAGGGTCTCTTTTTTTTTCTTTTGTGTCCGCTATTTTTAGCTCTCAGCTACCTGGCTATATTTGTCCTCTGGCCTATTCACTTCACCCCCAAACTTATCTTGATTTATTCTTTCATACGACAATAGACTTATTACACTATCCAGTTTGCTGAAATTGCAGGCAAATTCACATCTGTGGGTCTGTGACTATCCTCTTCCCAAGAGCTGCAGAATAGGAGCCCACCCATGTATGGGACTTGTGGCAAGGCAGAACTTAGTCTGTTACACTCATGTTTTCAGTCCCATTGCACCAAACCCCTGCTCATAACAGTCAAATAACAGCCCATAAAAATGAACAACATATTTAAAAAAAAATTATCAATGTGATAGGATAAGGGTTTCAGCCAGGTTAAAACTCTGCAGGGAGCATTGCCCTCTCATTTTCCTTGGTTTGGGAGACTCAGGTGTGCTTCTGTGGCCAAAAGCGATGTGTTGGGGAGAGGAAGATTGCGGTACCAAACAAATTAAGTTAGCCAGTGAGCAGTCATTCTGGCAGAAATTGATGGTGGAATTTTTGTGAAGGAACTACCTAAAATGCTATATATACTTCAAAAGTAGGTCTTTGTGAATGCTACCTATAAACGTTTTGCATGAATGTGTTTGTTTTATGAGGTCAGTGATAGTACAGCACTCAAACACTGCAATCAAACTGTAGGTTTTACTTTTTTTGTGTTTCTTCTCTGGGATCTTTTGGATCTCTCTCCCACTGATTTTTATGAGAGGCCTATGGTAATTCTTTATTGCATGTAATAAGTCTGATAAATGTATACTTTTCCTGAGCAAAAAGCTATAGGAAGACCTGTAGATTTTGTAGACTCATGAACTGCAGATATCCAGTAAGTTTCAGGGTTTTTTTTTAAACCTGAAGTTGTTGATAAATCTGTCTTCACAGTAGGATCATTGAAATGGTACTTTTCTTCTTGCACTCTAAATGAGATAAGCTCTCTTCTACTGTTCGCAGACTATTTATTCAATTGGTAGGGGAATATATTCATGCAAGTAATTAAAAGAGCTGTTGAGAAAAACTGTATCAGTTCTGCTGTGTATTCCTTTGCCAAAATGGCTACCTGTGTTTTCATCATATTCTTGCTATCTTCAATGTTTCTTACATGTAAACTCTTTCATTTGTTCACTAGCAAACAAGTAAATAGAAATTGTAAAAAATAGTAAACTGATACAGTTTATTTGTAGAACTATTTGTGAATAGTGTTGCTATGTTCATTTAGCTGTATCCCTATGGGATGATATAATCATGCATATTGTATTGGTGAGTCCTCTCCTGACAGTAGAAAACAGTCTGTTGTCAAACAGCTGCCATTTGCCATTGTATATTGAGCTAGATTTCCTTCTCAATTAAAAAACCCAAACAAACAAAAAAACCGACCAAAAAACCAAAACCCAAAACAAGAATCTTTTGAGGACAGGATTTGAGAAGTCCCTTCTATGATCTCCCCTACTACTTCATCCAGCTCTTGCATCTGACAGCTCCCCTTCTATCGCACCCTGGACATCTGGTTCCAGTTAATCTGCACTGTCAGGAATCCCTGGTGTGAGGATCCATAGGCCATCTTGGGGTAAAATTATCAGAACGACCAACTTGTTGCAAATGAAGACTGTATCTCATTCAACCAACGCGTTTTCCAAACCACTGAAGAGCAACCCCCAGGATCCAGAGGAGGCTGCAGAACAAAAAGCAGCTGACTCCTTAGTTTATGGCAATACTGGGATGGAAGGCAGGGGGATGAAAGAGAGGACCAGTAGCTGCCTAAGTTCACCTTTTATCTCTTGATAAAATAGTTCAGCTGGAAGGGATCTACAACAATCATCTAGTCCAACTGCAGTATTCACTGGCCACTTTATTAAATAATCTCTTCTCCCCTAAGGACTCTTTGAATGTGCACAATAGCTAGGTGCACACTTCTGACACAGTTGCTTGAAAAGCTTGCAGTTTCTTCTGCAGGTAAGCAGACCCTCAAGTATCTGTAACATTTCTTCATTTACATTTCAGACACTTCTCAACAAAAGCAGCTCAGACAAGTTTATGAAAAGAGCTAAAATAGTTCTTGATTACTACAAAATGTAAAGCACTTCCAAATTCCTAGTCATATTTTGAGAAAATAGATTAATTTGGGCTGTCATTTAACATGCCAACATTTATCCTGATACAAATATGCATAGCTAAATAACAAAACTTTAAGAAATGTTGTTTCAACTCTAAATTATGGCAGGCCCCTATTCTAGCAAATGTAACAAGGTTCTGATATTTTGAGGTAAATCAAACTGGAACACTAATTCTCATATCTTACCAGAAAAATCAACACGTTTTCTCATCTAATAAGAGAGGAGACTAGAAAGTGCATTATTCATATTCATGGGACTTGAGGAAAGACATGCTTATTTTTTTTCCTTTTATCCCCTCATTCTCATTTATTACATGAGCAGTATCAGGCCCCACACTAGAAAGCCTATTAAAAAAAAAAAAGCATTAAATTGCGTATTTGTACTGAACTTATCTTACCGCTGTGTTCTTCTCAGTCAAGTTTTCTGGTTGTGACTCTGCTGCACTCATTGTGTGCCTGTTTAAAGGAAGACAAATTTAAACATTCTCTAATTCATTGGTCTCATTTGACTAACGAACATGAAGCTTGATAGACACACGTCTGATAGTAGTTACAAGACACCAAATCTCTTATGTGCTTGCCTTGCCAATGTATTATTTAGTGAGGCATGGAGGTGTAGAGTATGCTTTCCGCCATACCTCTGGCTGTGCTATGTGTGCTCACCTTACACTGCATAGCAGTGGCAAAGGCTGCAAGCAACAGCTTTTGTTTCAGTGCTCTTTGGCAGGAAACAAAGTACCTTCCAGTAAAAAATAGTTGGTTCTTAAGTACTTAGGAAAGGTTTGGAGAAAAAGTACAATTGATAAGTCATAAGTCAAACGGATAAGAAAGTACTATGTACATTCAGTATCATTCAGACCACGTAATGATACCACATTCCAATGCAGCTGGTTTTCTAAATAATAAACATAATTGCTTTTCAAGGGTTTCATTGTGGACCAAAAGTACATATTATAAATCATACAGGAAAAAAAGGTAGAAGGTTTTCCAAAGATCTTCCTCTCCCCTTCATTCTGTTTTCATCTGCTATGTTACAGGGCTGTTACTTTTTCTTTTTTCTCCTCCCCTTCCCCTGCCCCAAATCTGTAATCAAATTGTTTTGATTAATCTCTAGAAGTTTTTGACCTTTCTAGCTATTTTTCCCATCAAGGGAGTTACCGTAGCATGAGTGCTAGCATTCCAGTCTATACTGCTTATTGGCTAGAACAAATTCAAAGAAGGAAATACATATAAAATGAATAATTTTAAATCTTAAAGCTTGTTAAGTGCAGGTAACCTGGCAATTGAGGAAGATACTCCTGCTCAGTTTAAAAAAAAAACAAACAAAACCAAACCTTAGAATCTGATGCATGAGCCAAACATCTTATAAAGGCAACGCTGACATCTCTTTACCTTTTCATAGAGAACAGTAATTGTATGACAAATGCTAAGAAGCATCACTTTCCACTAAGCTGTGCATTTCCATCCCTTGTTATGTGTTTGTGGAAAGTCAGATCCAAATACTTACAAGCATATAGGTTCCACTTAAAAAGTCCTCTTTCACCTAATCTTAAGTGCTAGGAAAATTGGATGGTTATGACACACCAGCATTTGTATTATAAACCATAAATAAATTAAAATTTACTTCTAGGATTTAGCCCTTTATTAAATTCTGACTGTTGCTTCAAAATCCTTTTAAGCAACACTCAGCACTTCTGACACCAGATATATGAACAGCAAGAGTGAGTGTTTACAAACTCTTTTCATGGCCCAGTTTAGAGCTGCAGAATAATTTTGGTTGGCAGAGACATCTGTAGGTCCTCTAGTCCTACATCCTTTTTTTCTCCTCATATACAGCTGTGTCTATTCCTAATTTATGTGTCTCTTCATTATCCTTGAGAGAGTCCTCAGTCCACATCTGTCATGATCACATGTTGGCAAGTGAAGACTGCAGTCAAAAGGCGCTGCCTTCTGACCTGCCCATTGCCACTGTGGGCAAACACAGCTGCATTCCGGGGTTGCCGGGCCACCATCTCCAGGGGTGGTCATATGCAAGTCAGCACAACTAACCTGGCCTCCCAGAACTTCTTTTCCAAAGAGACCAGCCAGGAGCATGCAGGGACAGAACCTGTTCTGTAACCTCTCCCCAAATGACTTGGTGTCCTTAGGGACATGTTTTTGGCTGGACTATTCAGTAGATAACAGAAGTACCCAAACACAGGCAGCACCTGTTTTTCATTGTTACTCTCAACTACTTGGCTAACTTCAGGTTCTCTCTTATAGCCAACTGGGCAGAAGTGTTCAACCAGCTCTCGTGTGCCACGCTTGGTTTTCTTTGACTTACACTTGTTTTTCTTTCTCTCCCTCTGTAGTATAATGGAGACTTTTCTGACCTTCAGGCTAAACCTCCTTGTCCAATAGAAAGTTTAAAGGGCTCTTCAGCTAAGTACAGGGTACAGTAAGGGTACCCTCTTGCATCCACTCTTGCACCACATGTTTTGTAACTCATAAAAATGACATGAAACCTTTAAAAACTGCAGGCCATGAAATGTACAAAATAACAAAATCATTTAAAACACCTACAAAATACTGTTTTTTTTCCTGCCTACCTTTGAAATAGTAACAAAGCTTACACTGGAATAAAACTTACTGTGCTGCAAGTTGATTACACGACCCATGCTTCAGTCTAGCGTTTAATGAAAGGTGGTTAAATCTGTGTGCAGAATCTCCTCTATCCTGCCCTTGACAGTTAGTTACTTTTATTTCTGTGTAGTTGGTACATGGGATTGCCAAATCACCCTGCAGATTTTTTTCCCCTCTCAAGTTTGATCATGGCTAAATGACTACAAGGCAACAGAGAATTAGGCCCTTTGTTTCACGGTGTGTTTTAAACTGAAGGTTCAGAAAGCTCATGAGCATGAAATCCCTGTCCTGAGGCTCATCTATCTCATTTCTACACCTCCATAATTCTCACCAACTCCCCCAGTTCTGTCCTTGTGAACTAGTATAACGCTCATATATACTTGTAAATTGTCTCTTATAACTGAACAGTCTAACTGCTGTAACTATAGAGGAATTTATTGCATTTAGCTTTTGCTTTAGAAAATCTGTTTAATCTCTTCTAAACATTTTTTTTAATTAGAAGTATATTTTAAAATGAGAATTTACTTGATCACTATCTGCTTATCATCATTGCTGATAATTCTTACTTAAAGCACAGTCATTGTGACGCTATGTGATGTACACAGTCCTCTGGAAGTGGCTTTTTTTGGTTAACCTATTCTTTGTAAATGGGAAATTCGGAGAGAAATCCTACAAAGACCTCTTTGCTCCTATAGAGAAAGAATCAGGAAAAGAAGTCAGAAGTCTGTAGTTATAATGACATAACTGGAATTAATAAAGCAACTGAGTGCTCATGGATATGTTAAAAGGTGTTCCAGAGATGCACATTACCTGTCTACATTAGGGTACCGTCTGTTCTGTATTTTTATACAGCTGACAGCTAATAAATGTCCTTAGGAATACATTGCAGGGAGAGGGCACAGAAAAGGTTTTAACGTTGAGTTTTAACCAAAGACCTGTTGCTTGAGTTTAAATAATTATTACTGAGTTAGATGATGTATTTCAGAATAGGCGTCTGCTTTTTTCTACACAGATACAGCTAGTGAAATGGAAGTAAGGATATTATAACCTTGTCACTTTAGTCAGTGTTCTGGGAGCTCTGAATTGCAGCCACATGTAACTGTTATGGCTCCATCTTGGCAGGAATATATGAATCGGCACAGAAAGCAGTATCATTTTGTAAACGTGTGAACAGGGAAAGCCTCAGCAACGTGTGTTAAATGTCTGGGTGAAATTCCCAGGATCATGGCGTGATTTGCTCAAATTGGATAACTCTTTCATTGGTCAGTTATTTTCAAATGGAAAAATTGCAGCTGGCTAGCTTGTTGGTAAGAATGTGTTATGAGTATGTTAATAATCATTTCATTATTATAATTCACCTAAAATAACCCTTATGTGATTTCAAGGGACAGTGGCATCCATTGAAAACACAGCTGATGACAGTGGATGGTCACCCCTCTAACTCTAGAGAGCAAAGATCACTGTGCTTAATCACTCACTCTCCATTACAGAGACAAATATTTAGGATGCCTTAATCTTGCTCTTTACGTCTCTCAAGAATGACTGGTGAAATGCCATATGACATTCTTTTCAGCATAATGGATTTTTTGCGTTATACTGCTGTATCTAGGCCAGTAAGGAGCTTCATACTGAGGGATCATGAGATAAGAACATTTCAATTATGTCTACCATCTTTCTCAGACTATCACAAGGACTTCTGGTCAAGATTTCCACATGAAAGACAGTATTATTAAAGTATATTGTTTAAATTATTTCTGTTCTTCTAATAGGTAGTGTTTGCTATATACCTTCCTATAGGAAAACAAAGGTTTCAGTGGAGCAGTTATGACTATTGTGAATATATGAATATTTATTACATCACATTATTATTATGAACATAGGAATATCTCTTGGAAGTACAGGCATCTTGCATTTGTTCTCCCTGTAGTTCAGTACTTGCTTTCTGGGCAATATTAAATTTACCTTTCTTTCTTTTCCTCTGATGTGGTACAAACGGTCATTCTTTTCTTGTTCTGTTGTAAATATTATTTTCTTGCTTTGTGGCCTATGTGCATACAGGCAGGAAAAAGCATTTGAAAGGGCAACAGCATGTGGGAGCTTCAGTGTGTTATGGAGTCCTGTATGTTGGAATCAGTCAAGACAGTTGGCATATGTATCCTTGGATGTCCGTTTTGATAGTATAAACAATTTGAAAATGATTGGGTGATTTCAAATTTGATACTATGTATGAAACAGAGGTGGGAAATGTCCCAGTTTGTTGAGGGAAACAGACATCAAACCAAGTGCGTGGGCAGGCCCTGAGCTGACCCAAGCAACTCACAAAAGCTGAGTACAAAGACTAAGACAGTCTAGTTCAAGGTGCATAGGATAACATCCGAGCAATAGAAAAATGAACTGAATGAAGTATTAGTGTCAAGACAGACCTTAAAGACAAAGTCAAGGAAGAAGGCAAGTGCTGAAAGGCTGAAGCAGTACTTTGAGATACTCAGTACATGGAAAAAAGGTATATAACCTGACTAGCATAGTGAATGCACATGGCAAAAATTACCTAAAACTTACATTACGCAAAAAATTAATGATACAGAGATGGCATATCCATTGTTGACCATGTTTGTATTAGGAGTGAGATATTTATATCTTAGTGTTGACTGATGTAAAAGGTACATAATCTGATCCTACTACAGTTAAACATAGGGAAATATCTTCTGACTTATGATGAGAAGGTAAAATCTTGGTATGGATCACTTCAGAATGGTATCTTCTGTCTCTCCACTAGGGATTTAAGGTGAGAATGAGAAGGCTTGAGAGTGTCCATAGCAGTGATTGGGGTCTTC